GTGGACAGGAGAGGCCACCATGTGAACGGGGCAGGGACACGTGGACAGGAGAGAGGCCGCCGTGTGAACGAGGCAGGGCCACGTGGACAGGAGAGGCCACCATGTGAACGGGGCAGGGACACGTGGACAGGAGAGAGGCCGCCGTGTGAACGGGGCAGGGCCGTGTGGACAGGAGAGAGGCCACCGTGTGAACGGGGCAGGGCCGTGTGGACAGGAGAGGCCGCCGTGTGAAAGGGGCAGGGGCGTGTGGACAGGAGAGAGGCCGCCGTGTGAACGGGGCAGGGCCGTGTGGACAGGAGAGGCCGCCGTGTGAACGGGGCAGGGCCGTGTGGACAGGAGAGGCCGCCGTGTGAACGGGGCAGGGACGTGTGGACAGAAGAGAGGCCGCCGTGTGAAAGGGGCAGGGCCGTGTGGACAGGAGAGAGGCCGCCGTGTGAATGAGGCAAGGCCGTGTGGACAGGGCAGGGCCATGTAGACAGGAGAGGTCGCCGTGTGAATGAGGCAGGGCCGTGTGGACAGGAGAGAGGCTGCCGTGTGAAAGGGGCAGGGCCGTGTGGACAGGAGAGAGGCCGCCGTGTGAAAGGGGCAGGGCCGTGTGGACAGGAGAGAGGCCGCCGTGTGAAAGGGGCAGGGCCGTGTGGACAGGAGAGGCCGCCATGTGAACGGGGCAGGGCCGTGTGGACAGGAGAGAGGCCGCCGTGTGAACGGAACAGGACTGGATGGGTGCCGATGTTCAAGCCAAGAACGCCTGAGGCCACCAAAAGCCAGGAAAGACAAGACAAGTTCTTCTGCCCCAGAGTCTTTGGTGGGAGCATGGCCCTGCTGACATCCTGAATTCAGGCTCTGGCCTCTGGGAACGTGAGGTGCTTTAAGTCACACATACTGTGACGATCCAGTACAGTGACTCTAGGGAACTACCACACTGACACCCAGGCCTACAGACGCCAGGCTAACAGGCACTGCACCAAACGGCTTTGTTCGTGGGCACTTCCCTAGACACTAAGTTTCCGCTAATACAACATCCACCCCGTCTGTCCGTGCTGCACTGCAGGAGCTGTGTGTGGCTGTGATGCTAGAAGCTATGCCATCAGTATTTCAAATACCAGCAGGGTCCGCCACGGTGGATGGGTTTCAGTGGAGTTTCCAGACTAAGACAGACTAGGAAGAAAGGCCTGGTGATCTCCTTCTGAAAATCAGCCACTGAGAGCCCCAGGGACCAGCACAGAGCCTTGCCGGACCCAGTGCTGAAAGGCGAGCCCCTGCAGGGGAAGGCTCTCAAATGCCCAGGGGCCGCAGCCACAGACGCGAGCAAACCAACGACCGTGACAACACACCGGCAAGCGGCTTATTCTGCTGTGCACGGGGTCACCAGAAGTCAGGGCCAACTCGACGGCTACCAGCAACCACACGAAAATGACCAGCACCATCAGAGTCAAGGTCACCTGGGCCTTTCTGGAGTGGAGACTCATTGATGACGAAGCTGTGGGGAGCATCTCGTCAGTGTGTCTCACTGTGGCTTTGAGGCGTTCTGATAATGGACTGAGAGTTCAAAGGCGACGGCCTAGATTTTGATTTTTCTAATTTAAGACAGTCAAGCCACAACCAGTGCCAGAGAGGACAGACGTGAAGATGGCCCCAAGGCCAGCCGCTCTGGTGTCCACACCCCGCCCCTGAGTGTGAGTGGCACCTGTGACTTGATTCTAACCAAGGAATGTGGTAAAGGTGGCAGGTGTCACTCTTGTGATTGGGTCACAAGGGACGAATGTCTGTTTCGCCAGCAGACCCTCCCCCTTGTGCGCTTTGATAAACAGTCAGGGACAGAGATCTACGTGGTGAGACAGAGGAGGAACCAAGTTCTGCCAACGAGGTGAGCTTAGAAGCAGATCCAGTCCCAGTCAGGTCTCAAACCAGCCCCAGCCCCAGCCAACACCTGGGCTGCCCTCAGCAAAGAACCCAGGTAAGCTGCCACCAAAGTTCTGACCCCCACAGATAACACGTGGGTGCTGCTTTAAAATCTTCACAACTGGCTGACAAGAGACAAGGTTGTAGTCACTTCTTGGTCACAGCCAGCTACCCAGAGGGAGTGAGTAGTTGAACCTGTGGGCTCCGGATCATAGTCACAGGGGACATCAAGCTCAATTAGCATAACATACTACACAAAACACTGTTCCACCTACTACTATGGCAAGTAGTGACAAGGATCTTAAAAGCTTGCAAGCAGCAATCTAAATGCAACAATGGGTCTTTCCTCGTCCAGAGCAAAGAAGAATGAAGAAAACCAAAGATTCATGGAAACAATTAGTCCAAGTGACTGGTATACCATGCAATCTGCAGCCTCTATGACTATGAGACCAGAAGAACTAGATGGTCCCTGGCCACCACTGTCAACCAAATGGAGGGGGATCTATGTAGGAGATCCTGGATAGAGAGGGAGAACAATGTGGAACAAAACTCAAAATCATTTTTGGGAAAAAAAAAAAGGACCAGGTTTGCTGGTCTGACAGAGCCGGGTGGAACCACTGAGACTATGGCCCCTAGCTGCCCTTCAGGTCTGGAACTTAACCCACACCTGTGGCTTCCAGCCACACAAAAGACAGGCATGTGAGGTGAACATTTACCTGAGGTAGATACACTCCTTGGAGAGAACAATCATGGGAGAAAGAAGGGCTATGTATGCACAGGGAGACAGCTCAGGGGGCAGGGGTACATGGAGGGATGGACACAGGGAAGAGGTAACTATAGGGAGGAAGTGGGAGGGGAGCTGTTGCACTGTGGGAGATTGTAGTCAATGTCATGAGACAAAGTCTTTGTGAACTGCTGTATGGAAAGTGAATTTGCTCTGTAAACTTTCACCTAAATCACACACACACACAAAAAATCCTCACAACTGGACTGATAAACATCATTATGGTCAATGGAAAAAACTGAAGTCGTCAAGATTTCATTCCAATTGGATCCTATGTTCAGGGAAGCAGCAGTCAAGAAATCAAACAACGAATTACACTGGGCAAAACTGCCACAAAGGAAATCTTTGAAGTGTTAAAAAAGATGTTGTATTCATGAGGACTAAGATGTGCCTGACCCAAGTCACGGTCTTTGGAACCTTAGATACTTGCAACAGCTGGACAACGACAAAGGAAGACAAGGAGAGCTGACAGTGGTGCTGGTGAAGAGGACTGGCCACATTGCACTGCCAGGAAAACCTGTCGGTCTTAGAACGACAGCTAGAAGGCTCCCTGAGAGCCGGGAGGACAAGGCTTTGGCTCGCTTACTCTGGACCAAGCATCAGGACACGTCGCCACCTACTAGGAAAGGTCATCATGTCTGGTGGATGGAAGGTCAGTGAAAATGAGGGCAACCCTCCAGGGAGGGACCAACAACGCAGGTGCAACAACAGATTCAAACATACCAGGGATCGTAGCAACAGCACTGGCCTGGCAACGGTTCACTCCGCCACACGTCAGTCGCCACGCTGCAAGACTAACTTGGTGGCAACCAAAAACTTTGTTTTAAGCCACCGAGTTGGTGGGAACTCGTTACACAGCCACAGCTGCCGGACACACCTACCAAGTAATCATCTGGCCGGATCCCAAACAGCTCCCGGAAGTAGCGGAAGGCAACGGGTGCATAGGTCTTGAACCTGAAGTCCTGGAAGTGGTGGGCAGGGGTGAGGTTGCTGCCTTCGCTGCAGAGGAGACACAGAAGGAGAGCATGAAGGACCGTGGCTTTTCAGCACCTCTCCTCCACCACTCCTCAATCCCACATGGCCCACCCGTCATCAGGCCAGGAGACTGCCGCCAGCCACAGAGCTCCACGGCCTCCTCCGAATGGCTGATCCACAGAACGTGAGGGTCCCAATGGAATGATGAGACTCAGGCTGCCCCCCAACAGCCTCTGTCCCCTTCCTCCACTAGCACTGGAACCCACAACGCTGGCCAGACACATAGGACACCCAGGCTAAGATCCACTGCCAGAGAATCACCTACACAGGTGCAAACTGACAGCAACCAGAAAGGTCGGACAGGAGCCCTCGGGCCAGTGAGCGCATGCTCCTGCTCCGGGGAGCTCATCCTCCTCCGGGGAGGAGAGACCCGGAAAAGGAGCGTGAGGGCGGGTGCACAGTTTGCAGACTGTCTCAGTGTCATGAGAATGCATGTGTAGAAATGGCAGAACGGGGTATGTCCTGCTGTGTACATTTTCACAGAAACAACAAAAATAAAAGTATTTTAGAAAAAGATAAACAGCTATACTTTACGGTTTCAATACCATGGCTCCTTGTTTTTATACGTAACACACAAACATACTTGATTTAAAATAAACCTACAACATGTTAAAAAACAAACAAGGACAACACTGCCCAGCCTCTCTGGCAGCTGGGTGTGGTCAGGACTGCATTCTGGCCAATGAGATGTGAGTGAGGCAAAACCCGTTGCGGTATAGTAAATTACTTAGTGTGGCTTTTCTATCCATAAGTCTTTGTAAACTCCAAGGTGGGATTTTCTATGAGCAACTGAGGAGCTCCTGATTGCTGAAGTTGTCCACCTGGAGTATTTCTGTTGGGAGTGGCAGAAAACAATGTTCTGGGAGGTGCCCACTC